TGATATATAACGCGATCAGAAATTAATTTCTCTGGAGATTAAAAAGCTGAACAGTCAATAATCAATCAAAAAACAGGAAAATGCATGAGAAGTAGATGTGATCGCCTGAGGTTCCGAAATCCGTCCCGGATCCCTCATCAGCGACAAAAGAGTAGACAATAACACAAACAGGTAATTCATGGACAGGGAGTTGCAGTATGTATAGGTTACAGTCACTATGCTACTGCAGACTGCAACTCCCTATGTATAAAGTACACGTTTCTGCTATTGTCTCCGGTGATATGTCCGCGATAGATTAAGAAACATTAGGTGAATAAATATCTTTTCCCAACGATCACCTCTAATTCCTCTCAGATACTTCCTGGGACTCTTATTGACCAAAACACCAAACAATTAATGAACCATATCCAGTTTAATAATCACTGTCAGTTGTTGGTGGGCCCTTTTACGGTTAGTCATGATATAATCGCAACTGATAGGATAATATGAATATGTTTAAACAATGGGTTACCCGTAGCCGTTATTACTGCTTTTTAGGGCATGGAATCACGTAAATTTACAAATCCGACGTCAGGTTTTCCAAAAATAGTCCCCTGCCTACCTTTTCGCCTTAACTCCTTTTCCTCAGTTTCTCTTCCCACCGTGTTTTTACTCTCTTACTTAACTAATTAGCCTTTGTGACCATGCCCTATGACATTTTTGCCCTTTCTGCACTAATTCCATTTTGTATTTGTTTATTCATTGCACTTATCATGTTTTGGAGTGGACGTAACTGAAGCGTTCTCCCGAAGTTTCATGGATCCAATAAATCCCGCTGCTTTTACTATCTACAAACACTGCAGTTAACACAAAGTTTTGTGAACACAAAGCGCTCCCGAGGGCTTTTGTTGCCTTCGTTTATTTCTCAAAACTACAGCACTTATTAAAACGTAGGTGAAGCAAAATTTTTGTTGAAGAATTCCTTTCCCGCTGCAATGGGTTTTGTGTTGTCAGTGGTTGAAATCGTTTTAGAACAAACAGGCTTTTTGACAGACCTACCTAGTTTCAGGCGGTCTTGAGACTGGTTTCACCTTTCACACTCGAACCGTGGTCTGTTCAGTGGTTTTTTTCTGACAGGTCACAAAACTAGAACGAGAATTGTAAGTCGAATTTTTTTCAGAAAACCACACTGATAAAGTACATATGACGTCAAGAGGAAGCTGATGCACCTGTGTTTATCCGACTGCAAGCGTGTTTATGCTTGATTGTGGCACTGTGCAAGAACTAGTGTATCCTTATTTAAAAACTGTTGTGCGAGGTCTACTTAGAGGTTAAGGCGACGGCTGAAGCTACGGTGGACGGCTCCTACACCGCTGACGTCAGTACAGTTTACGCCTGCCGTCGGCAGGGAAAATCAACCCTTAGGCTCGGGAATTCCTGTCATTTAAATTTTGGACATCATAAATGTAGCCACTAATCGTGTAGGATTTCACTTTTTTTGCACAGGCTATTCCCCCCCTCCCATCTTCCTACCCAGACATTATTTTTCGTTGGGCACAAAGAGACTTACATTTTTGTTGCCAGATAGATCAACACAGGCGGCTGTAACATTTGACTTTTCCCGCATTTATATCAGTTTGAGAATTAGTCTGTGTAATGTATCTCCTGCCATCCTCAGCCCTCATTCAGATTGTCTTGCAATTGTGAAAACTGATCGGCAGTTATCAACTTGGGTTCTTCTGTTGAGAGTGATTTAAGGAAGTTACTGAAAGTGCCTCCGCCGCCCGAATAAACCGGTTACTGAAACGGACACCTAAGTGTCGATCAAAAATGTCCTAATTTTGCGCTTAAAGTGTCAATCAGGTAGTCCGGCTGCCCCTGATAAGTCCGAACAGTTTAGTAAGTTGAACGCAATTTTTGGTTACAGTAAGTATATTAGCCTGGCCTTTGGATCGACTTTTATCACAAATTATTGTGCTCCTATATGATTCTTCATCATTCTATCTAGAAAAAGGAGATGTTTCCTGGTACTCAAATATTCACCTCTATTGGCAATCAGTCTCTCTTTTGCCCCCATGGAAAATCACCCAGAGCATTTATTGTGTCTACATTTTCCATTTGTTCTCCCTCTCTTTAGAGACTGTTTTCCTATTTGTTTACAGCCAATCAGCAAAATTATGTGGCCTCGCCTGTCAGTGTGCTTATGCTGCTCTCGGCCCTGCTCGGAGCTAAGGGCCCCCAGGGCGAAACAGCCGACCAACTATGTCAAGCTATCAAGGGCAACACGGATAAATGTTCGGCGAGTGTAGTCGCAGAAATACATCAAAATGCAGAAAAAACTATGCGGCAGTTAACGACAGCCCGTAGTGTAGCAGAACCAACTGAAAAAGTTGTCAGAATTGCTAATGCGGCCTTCGTTCAAAAGGACCTGATGTTGAAGTCCAGTTTTGAGAGCGAATTTGAGAAGGACAACGTATCTACAATTGCCAAGGTTTGCCTATTGATGAAAATTCAGTAACAACAATTTATAGATTGATTTTCTCAGCCCGGAAGCCTACAAGACCGTGAACGCCTGGGTCAACAGAACCACGGGTGGACTGATAAACGAAATTTTTAAGTCTCCAAATGACATTTCTAAAGACGTCCTGATGATGTTGCTTAATTCCGTCTACTTCAAAGGTCAGTTTAAGTCTCGCCTCCGAGGAAGTTATTGAATTGGAGGTTGTTTTTGCAGTGTTCCGTAAACTTGAGAAAATCTTTAGTTATATGTAACTTGTATATGTGATTATGGACTCGAGATTGATATTTTTAATTGGCCTTACTGTCAAATATGTGAATAAACTGAATTTTGTTTGTTCGCAGTAGCAATGAAATTAAGAACATATAAAACACGAATCCTATAGAGATAATAACTAGACTTCACCGTCGATCTGACCAGCAACAATAACATGGACTAGTTTCACTCTTTTGGTAAGCCAGCATACAAACATGTTTCCCACAGCCTTTGGATGTCTTAAATGTTGACTGTAGGGGCGAGGAAATCTTACTTTTTTAATGTGAGTTTATTTTTATCCTGGGAAACACCGCATCCCTGTATTTCTTTATGTCTGATGTTTTCTTTTTTCCTTTTCTTGTGGTGTATTTAATAATGTCAGACAAAAAAAATATAAAAATGTCATGATTAAAAATGATCCAGCTCACACAATGAGAATGCCTTGTTCTAAAATACCATGAAAATACAAATTTTACCGTTGTCGGCATACATTAAAACAAGCAAATGAGGATATCAAGCCATCTGGTTGAAGGTTTGCTTTACATAGCTGCATCAAGATGATGAGTTCCAAAGAACTTCTCATTCTACAACGCTTCTCACCATTTGGAATACGTGTGCTGAATGCCAGACGTTGAGTTTAATGTTGAGTTTATGGGCATTATCAACCATCTCGAAAAACAGGTATATTTTCATCTTTGTCGGCAGTTATTTTACATTAGAGAGAAGATTTCAGTAGCAAATATTGTAATGATTCCTGGATCCAGTCAAATATCATATAAAATTGGCATCCGAAGGGCTCTTAAATGCATGTCATATATTCTACCTTACGTATTTTTTAGACGAGTGGCAGACGCACTTTCTACGTGCGAAGGTCAAAGACAGGACCTTTAGAACTCTTTCTTCCGAAAAGACAGTGAAGATGATGAGAGAGAATGAGTATATACTTTATTACTCAGATGAAGTTCGCGGATTTAAGCTGGTGGCGAAACCATTCTCGGTAAGTCTCCGTCTATTGACTACTAGGGGCTTGCACGTCACCTGAGAACTTGTAGCGGCTAACATGATACTGTCTGTTGCGGTTTCTATTGATAAATACGCGTCCGTCCTCGCAACTCTTTCCTTCTGACCGTCTGCAATAACTGCCTGCCTAAGACAACGCGTACCAACATCGAAAAATTCCTTAAAACCCCCTTCGGCAAAAGTTGTTTAAATAGTGGACCTCATCTGCCCCTATTCATCATCTTCTGTCTGATGGATTGGTGGTAATAGGGGTTTTGGGTGGAAAATAGAACAGGCAGTGGAGAAAAGTTTTAGAAGTAATTTACAGTTGTAAATTACATTAGGTTTTCGATTTAAATCAGTGTGGCATCGACGACGCGATGCAGGTTCGTGCTGGAATACTGGAATGTACTTTAATAACTACTATACGCATTTTAGCTAGCAATCCTACTGGTTTCTGACAAGCTGTTTATTTAAATACCTCTTATTTATTAAATGCTGATTTTTGCTGATGTTTTGAGTTACGCGCTCTAATCCGTTGCTGCATAGCGGCCGCGGTAAAAACAATTCAACCAAACTTCTACTACGTAACGCTTAATTTTACAAATTCCTTTCCTCTCTTTTCCTATTTCCCATCCACAAAACCCCTAATACGACCGCTCGCATTTGATAGAATGCTGAGGATTTGGGTACAGAAGGTCCAATTACTTAAACTACCATTGTCTCACTTTGTCCCCCTTTTCTCAACCTTAAAAATCGCATTGCCTAGCTGCAATCTTGCTTGGTTAAATGCATGACTGTCTGTCAAGACGCAATTCAATCCTGGGTTTCGGGCCATATTTTAGAATGAACGCTTCCAATTTGTTGTCATCCTGCCGACCGAGGATCTCAAAATTGAGAAGCTGAACGCCCTGTTTAAGGAGGGTTTTGATTGGACGGTTTTGAAGAAGGCCTCCGAGAAACGAATTGAACTATTTTTGCCTCGCTTTAAATTGGAACATGAGGTTGACTTGGTTCCGACTTTGCAATCGATGGGCGTGCGTAATCTCTTCAGCAAAGGACTCGCTGATCTTTCAGGTGTGTCTTTGTCGCTCTTTTATTCTAGACATCTTTAAACTATATTGGCTATGTGACTTTTTCAACTGATCCACCAGTGCTATTAAGCCCTCGTTCGAG